TTAAAACTGGCACCGATTTCAAAGAAGAGAAAACCGAAAAAGTCTAAGAAAAAATTAACTTAAAAAAGTTTGGTAAGGTATAAACAACCTCCTGTTAAAAGAAAGACGGTTAAAGTGAACGGACTTTATTGTTAAAGTTGTGGAAAGAAGCGATAAATGGCTCCTGTTAGAAAGAAAAAGCAGTTAAAACGATTAAATATGCTGAAGGTTCTTGTTCAGTGAAATCAACTAGAAAATCAGTTTCTTTATGTCGTGTTAATTATTGTGGGAACGTGGATAAATACAACGCTTGTCGAAAGAAGAAGACTATTGGTACAGAGATTGATGAAGGAAAATTTGGAGTTATTAAAGATCAGAGAAAGTGCTATTTTTGGGATACTATATTCTTGAATGTGCTTACCTTTCCCCTTTTTCAAGGACCAAAAACTGTTGATTATTTGATAATATCTGATATCTCGATAGATCTTCAGATCACTGTAAGCAGTACTGCTTCTACAATTGAATTACCAACAAAAAATGGTACGACTAATATTGTGGATTTAATAGAACCTAGATTTTTTATTGTGCAAATTTGCAATGAGAAGATGGCAAAAAAAAAGAGTTATTCATTGGAGGAACTTTTCATCGATATAACGGAATTGGGAGATAGACTTCGGTTTTGAGATTCATTTAAACCGGTAGCGGAGGAAAAATTGGAATTTTCATGTGACACTAGATGTGATTTTCAAACAAAAAGTTTGGTTTTATGTGCTGATTTGAACCATAGAACATGTATTTTATCAAGAAATACTGGAGAAAATATAGTATATGCAGAAGGGAATTTTATGTTAGCAATTGTGACAGATTATGCTGATTGGTTGTATAAAATGAGGTTATGTAGATTTGAAGGGGCAGAAAGATCATTATTTGGTAATAAAACTAAACTTACATTAGATTATTCTGGAATATCTGCATTTATTAGTGGTGGATCCATTGAAGCTACATGGCGATTAGATCCTTCTAGCATGGGAGGGTTGCAGAGATTGTTTAGCATGCTCAAGAAGTGTTGTGGTGATAAGGATGGAATACAAGTTGATACTTGATTTTAATATTTCTTTATTAATATTTAGATTTTATTTTGTATAAATATCTCTCTTGTTGATTAATAAATATTCATTTTTTAAACAATGTTTGCTCAATCATATTGTAAAATTAATAATAAAAAATTTCATGATTGCGATTATGGTGATAAAAAACTATACGTAGTAAAGATGATGAATATTACGAAGAATTTTTAGTAGGATTGTATTCAATGGCACATCAGTTGATTTCTCCACCGCCAGTTGAACCACCTCCAATCACCAATAATAACGAAACCTTTGACAATTTAAAGAATTTGATTCAGAATAAATATAATATTGGTGCTCTGAAAGATGGAGAGATAATAGATCAATCAATCATCGCTTCAAAGTTGCCAATTGAGAAGCAAAATGTGTTACAAAGTATGCGACAGGGGCAATATACGATGTTATTGAGATTTAATAATTTAACAAAGGATATTAGCCAAGAAACATCGATTCCAAAGCTACAAGATGGTGGTTTTTGGGATATTGAGATATTAGGTGATCTTTTGTTAAACGATAAGTTAAAAGATGAATTACAGAATATTCGGTTAAATAGATTACGTTACAGACAAGATTATGAAAGAGCTTATAATGAAATATCAGGAGAAAAAGATTTAAATAGATTAAAAAATTACTGGAAAAATGCTATTAACAATTTGATTTTTATATCAGAAGATAAGGGTGAATTAAATGAATTACGCGAAGCAAAGATAAAAGAGTTAGAGAATTCTGTTAGTGATATGGATGTCTTTGCATCAATAAGAGATAGAATGAGGAAAGACATATCTATAGCGAATTTGGAAGATAATGGATACTGAGATCGTAGAATAAGAAGTGATAACGTTCTAAATTTAATTCAGAAAGCAAATTTACAACAATTTAGAAGTGAAAAGTTACGAGAATTATCAGATCAGTACTACGATCAAATCAAGAATGAGCTTCTCAATATTAAAAATCCAACTCAATTGCAAGACGGTTCAAGGATGGATAGATGAATCAGGCAATTGGAAAATATCAATCTAACAGGTGAAAGAGATGTGAACGATCTTTAATGATTATGAGTTAGCTTGTTAGATTCTTTGTTGAGTCAATTAGAGGTTGGTAAATGGAATAACTATCAAAGGTTGATAAATCAGTATTATAGACAATCCCAGATTGTTGATCTGGATGATACAAGCAAACTTGCGAATGATATATTGGCATTAAACGCAACTTTATTGGATGATCAGAGAAGCAAACAAAGGTTGATCGATTTTAGAAAAAGTAAATTTAATAATCTATTATACATTTTATTGAGTGATTTGATTAAGGAGAAAAATGATGCGGAAGAACTTATCGATAGAGGGAAATATGACAAGGAGATACAGGAGATCGATCAACAATATTTAGATTTACCTAGAACCAAGGAACAATTACAACAAGAACGTCGAGATAGGTTAAGTTCTCTTTTATCAAGTGCACCGGTAAACAATGGTAAAAAAAATGCGAAATTAGATGATAATAACGAGAAATTAGATAATAAAGACGGGAAATTAGACGATAATAATGATAATTTAGACAATAAAGACATAAAATTAGATGATAAGAAGAATCATGACAACAATAATATTAAAAAAATACTTCTTGGATATCTTAGGGAATTTCTCCAAGGCAAATTTAACGGTTCGTTGGAAGATAATAATCTGTTGGATCAAATGATAAAATCATCTACAGAACTATCAGATACACAAAAAGTAGAGTATCAAAAGATCAGAACTTCTATTAATGACATTTACAAAGACAAAAAACGCGATCATTATTTTGTTGATCCGGATGATCTAGAGTATAATGCTGCTTTTCTCGATACGTCAAAAGCATCTTTTGAGGATGTCGAGCAATTGATTACCAAGATATTAAAGACTAAAAACAAGATATATGCAAAATTACGTCACTTTTTTGGAGACAAAATAACAATCCAGATTCTCAGATTGGTTGTGCAATTAGTAACAGATGATATCAAAATCTTGTTGAATTCAACTCGTGATCTTGTAAAGGATGATAAGGAATTACTGAAAAGAATTGATGAGAAGCTTAATAAGAAACGCAAACCACTCAAGATTAGCAATAGTGAGTTCAATAAATTGATCAAACAATTTAGAGCAGGAGTAGTTAACACGATAAATAAACCAGGACCATTGTATGTGATAGACTCTGTTTTATCATGTTATAAAGAAGTGGTTGAAACAAATGAGGATGAGTTAAATGAGATAAAACTATTAGTACTTGAACAGTTTTACAAACAAACTGATGTTTCTATAATAGGAGCATTCTTTAGATTTGCTCCTGAAGGAGATTTTAAGTATAAAATGTCACTGGATCCGTTAAACAAACATCAATTCGTTTACATGATCTATCGGATTTTGGTAGAATGTGTGAGCGATGAAAGATTGGAATATAAAGTTAACAATATTTTTGACCAGTTAGATTTCATTATATAATGGCCAACATTGTACGTTTTCAGAAGGAACTCGAGGATTTACGTCAAGAGAATGAATTGTTAAAGAAGAGAAATAAGCAGTTGCAAAACTATCAAAATCAAGTTTTGGAGATATTAATATGGAAATATCCACTTTTTTACCTATTTTTACAAATATTTAAACAAATTTTTATCATAATATTCTATCATATAATTGCAACATTTTTGGTTTTTGTATCTGTAGAACTTTTCTTTTTTTATAGTAAGTTAGATTGCAAGTATACATGTTGAGATAGCGATTACTGATTTGATCCAAAGAATAACTAATTATGTCGAGAAAATAGTTGAGAAAAACGAGACTTTGATAGAAATTAATGAACAGTTAGAGAATTATAAGACAGAGAACATTTCATTGTATTATTATTATCATATTTTAAAATTTGTTAGAAGCAATTATTTTAGGATAATTATTATATACGTTTTATCACTTGTTGTTGGATTTTGGTATTTTTTTTATCTTATTGAGTGTTTGGAATGCTCTGTATAGCTAGTTGGTTTGCTTTGGCTTTTAGATTTCAACATTTGGCATTTGTTTAGAGTGTATAGGTTTGATTTTGATCTTATTTCGAGAAAGTATTATTTTTTCTTCAGAGTTTATCTCTTCAATTATACCCGATACAATAAGACACAATGGGACAGATACTTTGATTTAACAAACATCACAATTTAAAATTACATTTTTTATATGTATATTTATTTGAATTTATTTCATTACAATTTAATAAAAAAAATTACTTTTTTCTTCTTGTTTCAGCGGGTTTTACTTCAAATAATTTTTCTGTCCAAAATACTATTAGTTTCATTTTTTCTTCAATTTTATCATTTTTATCATATTTTGTGGTGAAATAGTCTAAGGTTAAGTTAGCATCGGTGTTTACTTTCTTTAAAGTATCTTCGTAGTTTAAGTTCTCGTTTGTAAGTTTATTGTTATCTTTTTGAAGTTTCTCATTTTCATCGGATAGTTTTTTGTTTTGATCGGTTAAGGTTTTGTTATCGGCTAGCAATTCGGTATTTTGCTCTTTGAGTTTATCATTTGCTTCTTTGAGTGGTTTCAGTTTATCGTTTTCCTCTTTTAAAGTGTTTATTTGGCTTGTTAGGTTGGTTATTTGGTTTGTTAATAGTTTGTTTTCTTTTTTTAGTTCTTCGTTTTTTTTTTTTAATTTTTTTATTTCATCAGTTAGTTTGTTAAAATCCTCTTGGATTCGGTCAGTGAGACCAGAACTGCTTGGTAATTGTAATGCTCTCGGTTGAAATTCAGAGTTAGATATTTTATTTTTTTCATGTATTTTTATTTTATTTATATGTTAAAATATTGTTAAACAAAAAAATAAAAAAGGAAAAAGAAAGAAAGGCTAAAGCCTTATTACATAATTAAAGTATATCTATTCTTCAAAAGGAAGGTCATAACTAGGAAGACCCTAGTATAAATTTTTACATGCTATTAACAAATTATCAATCATGTTCACAACACTTGTTTCCTTACTTCTTCCAACTATATAATAATAGCATCTACATAGTTTTCTAACGAAATTACTATCAGGTTTAGGTACAAATGCTTTATCCTTATATCTCACATCGTTGTTTAATTCTTGTTTTTTATTTCCATAACAGGCTTCTGTTAATTTATCCATGTTTTTATCAAAGTTAGAAGCAAATGCTTCAAAGGTTTTAGAAGCATTTCTTCGATACATATAAGCTAAGTATTTCCATAATTTTTCTTGAACAGGACTGGTTTTTACAGGCATTTACTAATTTTTTTAATTTTTCCAACAAGCCATCTTTATCATTATACTCAACACCAAGTAATTTAAGACATTCATCTACCTCATCAATAATATAATCAAGGATAGCAGTTAATTTTTGAATATCATTTTTGTTTTCAGCAACTTTAATGTTTACATGACTGGTGATGATTTCATTAATCTTAATTTCAACTTCTCTTCTATGCTGTCTACACTCGTTAAGAAAAGTATAATCGGTATAATCAATAGTATGGTAGATAACTTGTGTATAATGATGATGAATGATGATGAGGCGACCACCATCTCTAGGTCTCAAACAGCACCTTCCTCTACCGTGTCTTCCACTACCATTTCTACCACCACTACCAAATGAAAAACACCTGGTTGCAATGGTTGTAACTTCTTCTTCATTTTTCAATTCTTTGAAATCATACTCGTTTTCATCATAAATGACTTCAATTTTATCAGACATTTTATTGTTTATTTTTTATTTTTTATTTTTTATTTTTTATTTTTATTTTATTTTTTTTTGTAATTTTTTAGCTTTATTTATTAAAAATTTAAATATATATTTTATTTATATTAGAAATGTTTTTAATATCATTACATGCTTTAACTAACAGATTCATTTTTTGGTTTATGCTAATATCTTTATTATGTTTAACGTCCAATAAACTTAAAAAAAGATCAATGTCTCGTCCAAGTTTCACAATATCCATTCCTTCGAATGATGTTAAGTATATTAGATTGTAGAGATGCATGTATAAAGTATAAAAATTACAGTAAATTTGATACATCATTTCATTTAGATTCAGGTAAAACTTGAAGATTTTCAGGTGGAATTCTAAAAAAAAAAAGTTTAGAAATTTTTGTTTATTGAGCGAGAAAAGGAAATGAAAATAGAAAATTCAACATCTTTATTTTTTTTTTTTTAAAAAAAAATAAAGTTTATATTTATCCTT